TTTTTTTTTTTTTTTAATACGTTATCTTTTCTTGGAAATAATTTTATTTACATTTCATGAGAAATAAGTTGTTCGAATTGTCATGATAAACGTAACGTCAGCATTCTGTATACGGTCATATTATATATAGATGTTATACATAGATGAATACATAATGATGGAAGATATGAAAACTACGGTAAAACGACGCAGTTGTACTTTTCTTTTTTCTTTTTTTTTTTTTTTTTACAAATCGAAGACATATTCTTGTTGAATCAAATCTTCCATCTTCTCGTCAAATTAAAGGCAAAATTATACTTTCTCGTTGGTTGATATTTTGTTCCTGTTAATCTCTTGTTGTGCGAGTATTTGCGCGGGTTGCGAATTTAGTAGATTTGGGCTGCTTTGTTGGGGCACAGCGTTCGTCTGAACATTTTGTGGCACTTGATTCACTACGTTTTGCTGTTGCTGGAAATTTGCGGCTTGAGGTTGACCTTGTTGAATTGGAATTTGTCCTTGTTGTTGAACTAAAGGCTGATTTTGTTGAACTGAAATCTGTCCTTGTTGAGCCTGCATCTGCTGAACAGGAATTTGATTTTGAGATATCTTCATCTGCTGATATTGCTGATTCGATGGTATCTGTCCCTGGAATTGTTGATGCTGTTGAGAAATTTGACCATGAATTTGTTGCTGAGGAATTACAATTTGTGGCTGCTGTTGATACTGCGGATGAATCTGATCTTGAAATTGTTGATGTAAAATATTTTGATTTGGATCTACTTGAGGTGGAACTAATCCGGGAGCAATTGATCCTTGTTCATGTTGTGACGGAAACTAAAAAACATCCATAGAATTACTCTTACAATATACACATTATTCAGTTTAATTTTTATTAACTGAATGCGTTAAATGTAACATATTTTTATGCTTCAAATCAAATATTTCATATTTCAAGAAATAAGATTACTTACCGACTCAATCTGTGCTGGTATACTATCTGTTTCTCGTGGTAGCTAATGACAGCAACAAAAAGTGCACAAGCTAATTATTATCAATTACAAAAACACTACAAATAATGTTTTTTTTTTAAACAAGAAAGTCAAACAAGTAAATAAAAACTCATTGCCAATAATATACTCGAAGTAATAAGAAAAAATACTGCTACTACAGGCTCTAAACTCATTACTCTGATCAACTAACCTAAAATTAACTATTTTTGTGTACTTGCGTATGGACACGTTTTTACAAATAATGCAAAGTAACTAAATAATGCAAAAGTAACTAAACGAAACAGCCTTGATTTTGTTTCAAAATTTTCAAATGTTTAATTTTGAGTAATATAATTTGAAATGCTGCCATAACCTGCAATTGACTTTCAAACGTCAATCTAACACATACACCAGAGTGAATTCACTAAATCTCATTACACATGTAAACACAAACAGATTATTACATCTTTTAAAAGCTCGAGCACAATTTTGATATATAATATACAATAGTCAAATATGTTGTATATTAAAACTATGACACAAATTCGATTGTCAATTTGCCACCTGATCATTTTTTCGTCGCTACACTACGAGGGAAGAAACGTGCGATGCAAGAAACATGTTAATTACAACGTAGTTAACTATAACAATGATTTTTGATATATTACACTTACTATTCCTTTGGCAATCAGATTCTGTATCTCGTCTTGTTTGTGTTTTGCAAAAGCTTCATACTCTTCCTGAGTATAAATTTGTTGATCATCCAAATCTTGCCATCCTTCATCTTGTTGGAAACTTGGTTTCTTTGTTTGTTCCAAAAATTCTTTTAAACTAAAATAACGGCATATAATAACTCATATCGTTCAAAATGCAAACAACAGAATGTAAATATACATACCTAATAAGACCATCTTTATTAAGATCAGCCTCGTTGAATACGTGTTCCCGCATTCTTTCCATTTCCTCGGCTCGCTTCAACAAATCATCTTGAGGCGTTCCTTGAGCATAAAGTTTGTCCAATTCTTTCAAAAATAAAGTTTTGACTTCAACTTGATCCCATGCTCCATTGCCATCGATGTCTAGAATATTAGTATTTATGAATTATATAAAATTAGCAATACTACAAAGATAAAAGACAAATACAAACGTAATACCATGAAGGAAAAAGAATGTTTTAGGATTAAATTCTGCATCTACATGGTCTTGTTTCTCCCATACTTCTTCCAATTGTTGTTTACTTCCTGGGTGATGTACCTGTAAAACGTGAAATGTAAAAGACCATAGGAATATATACGTATTCATATGTGCGTGTGTTTATATATATATATATATATATACACATATTCAACTATGCATATTAACATGTATTTACAGGTTCATGCTTTTTTCTCTTTTCTCTCAATGCTTCTTGTTCTTCCTCGTATTTCTTTTTCTCTGCATCGCTCATAACTGTAATAAAACAAAATAAGAATATAGACATAAGAAAATAATTGCTACTATAAATAAACAATAGACAATTAATTTATAATACGATTTAATTTCCCTCGCTCTGCGTATTTCTTTTCCATTTCATGTCGTTTAAATTCCTCTCGTCTTCTCCTATCAGCATTTGCTAAATCTTTAGTAGTCTGTGTACAAAAAACAACTGCATTAATTATATTCTATATATAATAAGTTAGTTTCATTTGATACTGCTATCGTATTACCTTAGCAATTAATTTCTTTAGGTCCTGGATTTCAAATGTACGTGTATTAGTATGATCTAAATGTTCCGTTATTTTTAAATGGTCAACATCTAAACCATTTTTTAATTCATTTTCTTTTGTTGCGAGATGTCTTAATCTCTCTAGTTCTTCCCTCTTAATCTCATCCAATTTTGATCTAACATTATGACTGACAAATTCTAGTTGATCGGCTATCTTCCCTGTCTAATGAAAAAAGAGAAGATTATAAGCACATGTAGCAATGTGAAGTTTACTCTGAAATATATATGATCTCTTTCAAATTACACGTATATCTGCTTCAGTTGCTTTTTCCAACTTTGCTTGGAAATCAGGATCACTCTCTAACACTTGAACTACTTCCATCAGGTATCTACGATATTCCAAGTCTACCTGCGTAAAGAACTTTTGCTACAAATGTTGTTGCATTAATAAAATAGTTATCTTTATCGTGTGTCAAACTTACCATTTCTTCCACCTCTTCAACTTCATTTTTGTTATCATGATCCTTGCTTTTTTGATTAACAGGCAGGGCAACTGACCAGTGAACTGTCACAGTTATTAAAAGAAATAACAGGAAGTACTTCATTTTCCTAGCAAAAAAAAAAAAATTACAAACCATTAATGAGAATAAATCATGAGATCTCATCGATTTACCGTGTTTATGTGTTTCACTGAAGAGTGTAAACCGCTAATCTATGTAGATAAATGCGCAACAGATGTTCAAATGTAAGTGTCGTAAGATATCGCAATGGGTATTTACGCCGATTGGGTAATTTTAATCACTAGCGATTGTAATAATTGATCAATCGAATTACAAACAAAGATCATTCGAAATAACAAGACTACGTTTGCCTTATGTGTAATATTACAGTTGTGCGTAAAAATTCTGCGCGAGAAAGAGGTATGGTAATAAAAATTTCAGAAACCCAGAGAGACGAAGATGTTAAGAAATTTAAAATCAAATTGACCAAATGGGGTCAACATAAAAATGTATATATACGGAGAAGTCGTCTCAATTGCTGTTTACCGTTACTTTGATTGCTTCGGTGAAAGTGCTGATGTATAAATTTTTACTCGACGCGCTACACACAAAAGACACGCTACTCTCACTTGAAAACTTAATTAATGAATAATCACGGATCTTCGTGTAACTAACTGCATATAACCGTATGCGATTAGTGATCAGTTGCGGGAGAGAAGAGTGAGAATGTATTGTACATATCACGTAGACGAGAAGGAATTACTACGTACCTAATTACTGGAAAATTGAATAACGTATCGTGACGAATGGTGAAGATTACCGTGATACACTACTGCAACGTTTGTTTCCGAAATGAGTAATGACGTGATCTCCGTAGCGGAATTGTCACTGATGCAAGTATACAAGATAGAGGGTAGAGTTAGCTTTTCGTTGGAATTCTGCGCGATATCGAACGTGAATGTCAAGTGACGTCAATTGCGATAAAACGTATAAACGATAAAAGGGAAAAATAGACGAAATGGATGTTCGTCGGAAGCGATGAGTACCGGAAGCCACTGATTTATTCACGATTCACGATATTTCTCTCATTCACGATCTCATTCACGATTTCTGTTTCGGACGATGTTTCACACGACACGGCACATTACACGTCACAGAAGTTTAGTTAGTTATACTTGGGACGGTAGATGGCGGCAGGAATCCATTTTTGCTACAAGCAACTGAGATCGGAATTGTTATCGATAGAGGTTACTTTTTAAGAAATTAACTTTATTGTCAGAGAATCTATATCGAGATTGTCAATGAAGAACTCTGGTTTCTTTTTCCAAGCTTCTATTGCTGTCCTGTTGATATTAATTTTTAATTTTCAATACAAATTAATTGGCCTTTTCTTGCGATGCGATAAAAATAATATTTTCTAAACTCCAAGGTTAAAAACAAGCGAAAGTAAATGAAGCAAAAATTTCAAAGCGAAGTCACTTCAAATATGCAACGATTGATCATTGGTCGAAATCAGTAATTGATGTACGTAGTAAACATATACTATCAATCGTGTACAAATGTTCTACCTTGGCAAATGGGAACAGTCTAAACAGTGAAAGGATCGTACGCATTATAAATCCTTCCTCAATGATGAAATACTCCTGCAACGAGCTACGTTGAAAGCGAAAAAGTTACAGTCCATTTAGTGTAAAAATAAAAATTGAAAAAACGGTATAATATTATTCTTCAGGGGGAAAAAAGAATGAAAACGACAATGATGAATATTTGATAAATGACGTGTAC